GTAGATTAAAGAGTCCAGGGACTAATAAAGAGTCCGGAGACGAGATATAATTTTGAAAGGCATTTAGGAGTCAAAGGAGCTTAGCTAAAGGAGCTAAGATCCAAGATCTTAAGTCTAAGGTCTTAGGTTCTCTTCATCCCCAGGACCCCATGCTTTTTATTGACACAACTTGTCCTGAGGCAAGGCAGAGATATACACTTCAAAGGGTGTACAGAAACATTGTCAGAATGGGGGAATTAGCCTACGGCTGTTCAGGTGTTGGGCCAGTAGGAGGCAATAACATGTTGATTAAGATGTCCTGAGCTGTCTGGCAGCCACCAATCATCCCTTTTCAGGTTTGGGGAAATGCCCTTCAGCCACTCCAGATGACTCAGCCCTTGCTGACATGCTTAGATTAGCTTCCGGCAACAAGGACACCGATCATATTGCCTCAATTAAGCACCCCCCTTCCTCCAGTAGGACCCCAACAAATGGCACCTGCAACAAGCCCATTTCCAAATGAGGTCCCATCCGGAGGCTCTAGCAGTGGTTCTCAACCTTCTGGTCCTTTAAATACAGTTCCTTATGTTGTGACCCAACCATAAAATTAATTTCGTTGCTACTTCATCACTGTCATGTTGCTATTGTTATGAATCGTCATGTAAATATCTGATCTGCAGGATGGTCTGAGGTGACCCCTGTGAAAGGGTCGTTCGACCGCCAAAGGGGTCGCGACCCACAGGTTGAGAACCGCTGGCTTAGATGGTGGGAAGGCATCATCAATGTAATAGACAAGGCCAGTCATTTTCTCCCAGCATTCCCTGGGTCCTGGCTGCCTGTACCCATGGAATCTCCCGGTGGGATCCTGCAATACCGGCTTTAGCTGGGAATGAAATAGGGTCTTACCTGGCCAGTTGTAAAAGGCAGCTCCGTTTGTCAGCTCGGCAGCCCGGGTTTGTGAGCAGTTATCCGGTGGTGGATGAGGAATCGTGTACCGGGTGGGCTGCGGAGCAGGAAACAGGCACTGGGATAGCCCGCAGGGCAGGCAGGCTCTGGAAAGGATGCTAGCGTGGGGTGTGAAAGATGGGTCTGTCTTAACTAGTGGGGGAGCCGGTCCGATGGCAGGTGCAGTGGCCCGGAGGGAGCAGGGCACGGAGGGGAGGCCGATGGGGGGAAATGTTGGGCTGGCACCAGACCACTCAGGGTTGGGCCTTGCAGGCTAAAGTATTTTTGGGGTCTTTTTCTTTAGCGCAAGGAGCAGCCATTAAAGGGTGTCTTTAAAAAAACCTATATATATATATTTATTGATTTCAGAGAGGAAAGGAGGGGGAGAGGGAGATAGAAACATCAATGATGAGAGAGAATCATGGATCGGCTGCCTCCTGCACGCCCCACACTGGGGATGGAGCCTGCAACCTGGGAATCAAACCATGCCCTCCTGGTTCACAGGTCGTTGCTCAACCACTGAGCCACACTGTCTGGGTTGTAAGCCATTATTTTAAACGAGGTTAAAGCAAACA